CACAAAAATTTCTCACCTATTCCTCTCTGAGATTTCCAGGATTATCTCAAAGAGGGATGGGGTGGGCCAGCTCTTGCCCAAACAAAAAGTCCCAGCAGCTGATCCCACCCCCCTGCGCCACTGTCATACCTCCTCCTAGACTGCCCAGTTCAGTATTCTGGATTTTCTGGAGCAGCATCTCCAAACTGCAACACTAACATCCCAGTTGGAGCATGCCATATTGGATGGGGTGTAAAACAGAAGCCAAGGAGTCTCAGCTAACAAAAACATAAATGGAAAAGGTTTAACTTGCAACAACAGCTTAGTACATCTTAGTAAGCCCTCAGTCAAAGACATAATGTCTCCATAGAAAGATACAACAATTTTCACAATTTTTTTCTATGGAAACATTTTTTGATCATTCTGTTAGCCACTTAGTGGTAACAAGCAATATAAAATAAATTGCTGTGGCTCTGCTATAGGGGCAGGCGTGAGAGATGGCTGGGAAGATGGAAACAGTGGTGGAGGGAAGGTGACAGTGGGGTTGGAGTTGCAATATTGAACGCCTCGAACAAATCATGAACAACTTTGTAAAGCACTCTGTGTAAAGTGGGGGTGGGGGGTGGGAAACTGACCATGGTTTACTAGTTTAATAAATAATACTCTCATGTGACTGGAAAAAAAGAAAAGAAACTTTTGGGGACTGTTTCTATTTCTTTTAGGGACTGTTTGATTTCCTAGAAGACCCTGAAAAGGGTTGGCAGTGGGTCTCCTTTGGGTCTCCCTTAAAGGTTTGGAAGTACACACTAATGAACCCATCTGCACCTGGGCTTCTGTTTCAGGTTTGGTGGTTCTTTTCTCTTTTCTTTTTAATGTTTTTTTTTGTTGTTGTTGTTGTTTGTTTGTTTGTTTGTTTCCCCCCATTTTTCTGGAGCAGCTGCATGCTCCAGAAAATCCAGAATAGTTAACTGACAGTTAAATAACTGGACTGCAGTGGTGGTACATGGGTGTGGCTCCTAGGTCTTCTGGAGCATGGGGAGATAGGGGAGATCACCCACTCTGTCTTGTAGAAGGTCTGGAGTTTCTAACCACAGAGAACTATGCACCTGGACTTTTTGCCCAAGTAAGTTCTCTGTGGTGCTCAGTCGTGTGGTGGTGGGGTCTGGGCCAAAGCATGACAGCACCTTTGCAATGTGGGAGCTGGCCCGCCCCCTCCGAGATCAACCTGGAGTCCTCAGCTGGGAATGGGTGTCTGAGAAATATCTGTGGTTAGTAGATCTCTTTGAGATTTATTTATGAGTCTCTGGAACAAGGCTAGTAGATGAGCTTCCGTGACAGTGATGGTGGTTCATGGGTGTAGTTGCTGATTCTTCAGTTTGGGGAAGACCTCTGATTACCATTTCAATTTCCTCGATAGTGATAGGTGTGTTCTGGTAATCCAAATCATCTGATTCAGAGTCCAAGAATTTGTCTATTTCGTCTAGATTTTCTCCTTTTGTGGCATAAAGATTTTCAAAGTAGACTCTGATGGTACTTTGAAGTTCAGTGATACTTGTTATAGTATACCTTCCTTTGATTTCTTTCTCTTTTTTATTTTTTTTTTTGATGTCTATCTAGGTTCTTTTCCAGTTAATGTTACACATTTAGACCCTTGCTTTAAAAACTATATATTACACTAATCAGCCATAGAAATTCACAATAAGTAATGTTTTTAAGTACATTTAAAAATTCAGTGCTTTTGATAGTATTCATTAGATAAATATCTCTTTGGAAATAATACGTAATTGTATTTGCCCCACTTTAATTTCTGATTCAGTTTATTAGTATTCTCTCTCTCTCTCTCTCTCTAAATCTTGCTAGTGATTTATTGATCTTTCAAATAACCAGCACTTGGTTTCATTAATTTTTAGGGTTTATTTTGGGGGAGAGTGGGAATTTCCACTCATTAATTTCTGCTCTACGTTTTATAATTTCTTTCCTCCACCTGCTTTTGTGTCCTTTCATTGATTACTTTCCAGATTTTTGAGCTGTCCTGTGGCTCTTTCTTCCTTCCTAATGGTTGCTTCATAGCTGTGAACTTTCACAGCTTTTGCTGTATCCCACAAGTTCTGCTAGCTCATGTCCTCGTTCTCATTTGTTTCCAGAAATCGTTTGTTTTCCTCCCTCACCTACTGGTTTTCCATAGTGAGCTGTGTCATTTCTTGTTGAGTTAATTTCTCCATTTCTGTTTGTGGTTAAATTTTATTTTCAGAGCACATGATCTGAGAAGATAGTTGATACAGTTTCTATTATCTTGGATTTACAGTGGTATGTTTTACGGCTTAGCATGCCGTCTGTCATGGAAAATATCCCTGTGTATTTTGGAGAAGAATATGTATTTTGCTTTTAGGGGATTAAAAAAAGCCTCAATTTTTTTTTTTTATTAAGTCTCTCTCTTCTATTTCTTCATCAAGTTCAGTATTTCCTTGGTGAGTCTTTTTTTTTTAAAGGTGGTGCATTTTATTTATTTATTTATTTATTTGCTTTTTGGGTCACACCTGGTGATGCACAGGGGTTACTCCTGGCTCTACACTCAGGAGTCACTCCTGGCGGTGCTCAGGGGACCATATGGGATGCTGGGAATCGAACCTGGGTTGGCCCCGTGCAAGGCAAACACCCTACCCGCTGTGCTATCTCTCCAGCCCCTGCTTGGTGAGTCTTAATCTAGTTGATTTATCAAGTGTTAATAGATTAGTGTTGAAATTTTCAACTATAACTTTTGTGTTGTTACTGATGTCTTTTTCAATCTCTTGCCTTTGTTGTTTCCTCATTGGATGTATTAGATGCTTAGGAGTGTGCATTCTTCCTGGTGTACATTTCGCTTCATCACTAAGAAATGTACCTCATGGTGTTTCACTAATAAAAATTTAAAAAAAAAAAACCTTTCAAAGTGAAAAATTGTATGCCTTTAAATATTGTCAAGTGAAATAAATAAAACCAAATGTCAATTTGTCGCATAATATGAAATAAATACTGGCACTATTAAAAATAAAAAGTCCCTTCTCTTACAGCTTTTTAAAAATTGAAGTTAGTGTTGTCTGATACCAGTGTGGCCACACCAGCCTTTTTGTGAGGGATTTATGCTTGAAATAATGTCTTCCAACCTTTGGTTTTGAGTTTGTGTTTGTCCTTACTGTTCAGATGTGTTTTTTGTAAGCAGCAGAAGGTTGGATTCTCTTTCCTAATCCATTATACTACTTGGTGTCCCCTGTGTTGACATTAAGTGAGATTATTATTGTGGAGTTATTATGCCAATCTTTCTTTAGAAGTTGGATGTGTTTGTGAGATTTGTCTTCTCTTAGAGTAGCCCTTTTAGTTTTTCATGTAGAAGTGGTTTCAAGTCTCTGCACTTCTTGAGCTCTTATTTAACCATGATGTGTATCTTCCTTCAAATCCGAATGATAGTTTGGCGGGTAAAGTATTCTTGGTAAGGCCTCTATTTCATTGAGTTTTTGTTTTTTCTTTGTTTTGTTTTTTAACTATATTTGTGGCTTCTGTTATTCTGATTAGGGTGTGTGTTGGAGTATTTTCATTTTAATCTCTTTTAACTGGTACTTCTTAAAAGAGATCCATACTGGGTGCATGCACTTTCCAGTTCTGTGAACTTCTCTGCAGTGATGTCTTTGACTATTGCTTCTTCATCAAGGTTGCCTTCCTATCCCTTTGGACCTCGATGATTCCTAGGTAGTTCCTCTTGAATTGATCTCAGGGGTTTTGTCTTATGTTTGTTTGGACTTCCCTCCCTTCTTCCCTCCCTCCCTTCCTTCTTTTTTCCTTTTGCCGTTCTCTGGAGATTATCTTCATTTCATCTTGGCACTCACTAGTTTTATCCTTAGTACTGTTCCCCTGCAGCTAAGACCTTCCAGTAAGTTTATGTCATCTACCAAATTCTTTAGTTTTGTTATTTCTGCTTGTAGTTTTTTTAATTTCTGCTCTCATATGTCCTCTTGCGTTTTATTGACTGTGTTCCATTGTTTCTTTGTGCTCCTAAAAGACCCACACCATTTCCTCTTTAAAGTTCTTATCAGTTTAGTCATATATCTTGTCTTCAGGGTTACCATCTTGAAGCATGGTAGGGTTTTTTGTCGCTTTCCCATTGTGAGTTTTGCACACCGGAGATTGCTTTTGTGTGTTGTTATGTGGATAGGCAACTGTAGTTAGAATATTGGTGTAACCACTCTGTGAGATATAATGAAGTGAAGAAATGCACGGTCACATTAGCAACCATGTGCTTTGGGGAACCCATATGACCTCAGGATTCAAGTTCTGAGTGCAGCTTATAGCCTTGAGTTCTTAGGACCAGGGCCTCATGTTAATTTCTTAGTTTTCATGAATATACCATGGTTATGGGAAAGGTTTCACAGAAGCTGAATAAAAGGTTTATGAGAACGCGACTGTCATTCCAGCTCTTCTCTAAAACTAAATTTGTTCTTTTTTAAAAGTGAAATGTTTGTGAATGTACCATTTTTGTTTTAGAGAATTGGTTGTCTTAAATAATAAATATCCACTTAAAGCTGATTATTGTTAGCTTTTATATAATGATTCTAAGTATAGCTCTGTTTCTTTTTATACCTCAGCCCCTTCCATATTCAAATTTGTATCTTAAATGTTTCTTTGCACCGATAATGTTTTTCATTGTGGAAATGTTACTTTAATTGGAAGTTACTTGTATTTTTAAAGCCCAATGATAGAGTAACTCATGACTATAAAACTCTGTTACAAAGATCATATGATATCTCCAGTGACACACTATCAGAGGGTGGTCATTTGCTTAGAATGGAGTTGCCCTTTGTAAGTTGTGTAGTATAATATTTTTGTGGTTTTGTCTTTTATGTAGTGTGTCAGGTCCCTCATGATCAGATCTTTTTCATGCTTTACTCAGTGAAGAGTTTGCAGTATACAACTTAGAAATGCTGAATTATACATAAGTGTCACTGAGGTTTAGCCACAGTCAGGTTAATATTCTTCTCGGTTCTTTTCAGATTCTTCTGTGTGACTCCTGTGACAGTGGCTATCATACCGCCTGCCTTCGCCCTCCTCTGATGATCATTCCTGATGGAGAATGGTTCTGCCCCCCTTGCCAACATGTATGGCCCAGCACAACTTCATTTCTCCAGTTGTCTGGTTATTCTTTGCCTGTTGGGCCTCCCCTGCAGTCCTTAGGAAGTCCAGGGCCTTAGAGCAGTTATTGGCCAGCCGGGGCCGTGATTCAGTGCACGCCAGTGCTGTGCTGCCTGGTCACTGCAGTGCTGGGGTTCCCCTGGAGAATTCTTCCACACGGCGCCCACAGTGCTCCAAGGACCAGGGGTTGGCCGAGGCTCAGTGCATATCTGACTTGCTCTTTAGCCCCCAATTCTCCGGTTATTGGTCCCCCAACACCCCCCCCCCCGCCCCCCTACACACACATCTCGCCCCAGGCTCAGTGGGTGCTCAGGGTTCCTGGTTTGGATTCCCCTTCACCACATTTTATGCATTCCTTAAGCACATCCTTAGCACTTTCATTCTTTAACTCTTGGTGGTTGATGCTGTTTCTGCCTTTGTTTTCTTTATCTTGTTTTGGGGCCACACCGGTGCTGCTGGAGACTGCTTGTGCCATTCTTGGTAATACTTGGAGTTCCAAGCTCAGGGTCCCCGCCTGGGAAGCATGTGCTCTGGCACTTAAGAGATTTCCTTGGTCCTTTTTTCAGCTCTCTTTTGAGCGTGGTTTTGTAGATTTCCAATCTCTTTTTATTTGTTTTGTTTTGGTTTGGGGTCACAGCCAGTGGTGCTCAGGATTCACTCATGACAGGACTCGGGGGGACCATGTGGGATACTGGGGATCAAACCCAGGTTGACTGTGTGCAAGGCAAGTTCCCTACCCACTGTTCTATCTCTCTAGGCCCTATCATTTTCCTTTTTAAAAATAGTGCTGGAGCAATAGCACAGAGGATAAGGCCTTGTATGCTGCCAGCCCAGGTTTGCTCCCTGACACTTTATATAGTCCCACAAGCAGGGCCAAGAACACAGAACCAGGCGTAAACCCTGCGATCCAGTTGGTGTGGCCAAAATTTTAAAATAAATACATTGAAATAGTGATTTTAACTTCACCATCATATTGTGTACATAAGGTGTGCTTTAAAATGCTTTTGGATGTGGTGATGCTGGTACATGTTGCTATACCCTACATGGCACACCTAGAGCCTCCAGCACAGAGCCAGGGATAGCCCCTGAGCACCCCCTAGGTTGTTGTATGGCCCAACCCACCAACCTACCCTCCTCTCATTCCCCTGCAAAAAAAATCATTTAAAAATTAGTATTTGGAACCAGAGAGCTTGCTCACAGGGCTGTGTGCACCCTTTGCGTGCAGATGCCAAGCCAACTCCTGGCATCTTTGAGAAGGACTCCTAAGCATAGATTCAATAATAGCCCCCACTTTCAACCCCCCTTGCACAGCTGGTATTGCGCCCCAAACCAAAGAAACAGGAAAGCTGGGGCTTGGGGTTTTTAGCCATTGTGTCCCTTTTGGGTTTTTTGGTGACGGTTTTTATTTTGGGCTTGTTGGCATATTTTTATTTTTGTTGTTTTGGTTATTTTAAGTGTGCAGGATGAATAAGTGGGACTCACAGTTATTGTTCAGGGGTCTTAGGAGAGAGACAGCCTGACTGTGGGGTATTCCAGGGCTTGGACCAATAGTGCTGTGGATTACCAGAGCCATATCTGGTTTTTGATTGAACTAGGAGCCCGACAACCAGGCAAATTCTAACCATTTTAACTTTATCTGTGGTCCCTGATAGTTCTTATGTACTGCTCAGGAGGTCTCAGCACCGCACCGGCAATTTTCAGTCAACTCGGTGGTGATTCATTATAAGTCTTGAGACTGTGGTGCTGCAGGCCTTGCAGTGTAGGGACCCCGAGGGTACCCCCAGCTAAGAGACCATTTGATTCTAGGACTCCGACCCTGGCTGCTTATATACCTGGCATGTGCCTTAGCTGCTATTTCTCTGACATGTGTTTTACTTAAAAAATACAAAGTTTATATTCAGATCTACATGTGCTATAGCATCTCTCTAGAGTATTTAAAGATCCATTCATACACTGGGTGGCCCCTGTCAGCGCTCAGAGCAGTGTGCCAGTGAGTGCTTTGGGAAGGATTCTACAATGGCATTCATCTGTTTCACTATTTCAGAAACTGTTATGTGAGAAATTGGAAGAACAGTTGCAGGATTTAGATGTTGCCTTAAAGAAGAAGGAACGTGCTGAACGCAGGTATTTTGATATGCTTTTTTTTTTAATTTGTTATTTTTTTGACCTTTGCAAAACTGTTCATGATTGGTTTTCAGTCATACCGTGTTCCAACTCCTGTCTCTCCACCAATGTACATTTCCCAGCACCAGTGCCCCCAGGTTCCCCCATTTTGATATACTTTACCTGGGAACGTGCTGCAGTCTAGAGTCGTGTGTCCATCTGAATTATGCGTGGACATCCCCAGGCATTATCACTGTCACCATCCTCCCGTTGTTTATTGACTTGCTCAAGCGGGCATCAGTAACATTGTGAAATTTATTGTTACTGTGTTTGGCATATCTAATACGTCACGGGTAGCCTGTGAGGCTTTGCCATGTGGGTGAGATACTCTCGGTAGTTTGCTGGGCTCTTTGAGAGGGGCAGAGGATCAAACTCTGGTCGACTGGGTCAGCCGCGTGCAAGGCAAACGTCCTACCTGCTGTGCTATCACTCCAGCCCAGGCATTATCACATGAATAATAAAAAGAATCACTCGTAAAGGGATTGGCAAATTATGTGGACCACGTCTGTCTGTTTCTTGTTTTGTATTGCTGGTAATTATAAATATTTTTTTTTTTAGTAAGCTGGAAAAAACAAGAATTGCATTTCACAGCACATAGTTTTATGTAAAGGTAAAAAAGGTAAAGGCTCTCCCGTTGATCATCGATTTGCTCGAGCGGGCCCAGTAACGTCTCCTTTGGAGACTTTGTTGTTACTGTGTCTGGCATATCAATTGTCACTTGGGCTGGAGCGACAGCACAGCGGGTAGGGCGTCTGCCTTGCACGCAGCCAACATGGCCGACCCGAGTTCGATTCCTCCGCCCCTCTTGGAGAGCCCGGCAAGCTACCGAGAGTATTCGATATGCCATAGTTTTATGTAAGCACTATAAATGAGCAGTGCTTATTTGTTTACATATTGTCTGTGTCTACTTTTCCACTGTATGCAGATCTTAGTCCCTGCCAAACATGATTGATTTTTATTTGTCCTTTTCTAGGAAAATCCTATCAATATGTATTAGAATCTACACTGAATATATGTTAGTCCACACATTGTGGAGGATGGATACGTACTTACAGTTCAGAGTTAGCTCTGTACTGTAATGAGGACAGGTAGACTAGAAGTACATGCCATCTCTTTGGGTGAGCAGAATTCTTAACGGTGGAATACAGAGCATCTTTTTGAATCACCTTGAGATAGCTGTTCATGATAGGGTTTCAGTTATATAGTGTTCCAGCACCCATCCCTCCACCAGTGTACATTTTCCACCACCATTATTACCAGTTTCTCTGCTCCCCACCCCCAGCCTACTTTCCTGGCAGGTGCTTTTCTCTCTTTCTCTTCTCTCTCTCTCTCTCTCCCTATCTCGCTCTCTTCTCTCTCTGTCTCTCTCCTCTCTCTTTTCTGCCTGTCTGTCTGCCCCATTTTCTCTGTCTCTCCTCTGTCTTCTTTGTGTGTTATGGTTTGCAATACAAGTACTAAGCAGTCATTGTGCTTGTTAAGGGAGTACAGTATTTTTATCCGCAAGGTACAGCTGGAGTAGCCTTTTTATTTGGGTGGCAGCTTTGGGTTGTGGACGTGAGGCTTTGGGAAGTTCAGGGAGATGGCGATGTAGCCCATCGCAGCTCTGAGAAAGCAGTATAGAGCATTTTAATGCTGAAAGGTGTACAAATGTTTAAGTGATGCCTCCCCTTTCAGTCTGCCACTGCAGTCATTCATTGTGATTTAAAGTAATTAATGATTCTTGGAGGAACAGAGACTGGTGTTGAGCCTTAAGGGGTTTCTGAAGACTGGAGAGAGAGCTCAATAGTCAAAGATGAATGATCTTCACGAACTGGGGTGCAGTCTGAGCTCTGCTACTGCATGACTCCCAAGCATCACTGGATATGAACTGGGTGATAGCCCAAACCGCAGACCCCAGCAGCTGTGCATCTTCAAGCCCTGGCATTGAACCCACAGCCTGCTTGCCTGATTATGTCTGCAGGTAGCCCATGGGCCTGCTCATCACTGCTTAGGAAGTCCCCCCCCCCCCCAAAATAAGAATGAATAAAAGTTGGAGGTTCCAGATTTGGTGGTTAGGTTGGTATGTATTTATTTGTATCTTCTTTGATTACACTTGTTTCCATTCATTCATACATATCTGTTATCTAGCCAGATTGAAGAGGTAATGTCATCTTTCACCAGAGAGTATAAAAATATGAAGCTAGAGTTCTAGTACAAAATATACAAACCAAGGTATATTCAAACTGGCAGGCTACCGAATGTAGCCTGCCCACACGGCAGAGTCTGGCAAACTCCCTGTGGCGTACCCAATATGCCAAATACCAGTAACAATAATGGGTCTCATTCTCCTAAAGAGCCTTGAATATAATCTCAGGGCTAGGATGAAGGAGACGTTACTGGGGCCTGCTCGAGGCAATCGACGAATAACAGGATGATTTGTGATTTGTGATTCAGAGCAGTGCAATCTCATTTTGTGAGTCATGCTTTAGTTCTCTAAGTAAATGCAGAGAGAGGGCATTTTAAGCAAAGTCCACAAATGTAGGCAAAAGTGAGAGTAGAAGAGTTAATAGGGGTTAGTTCTAAAAATGTATACCAAGGGGCCAGAGAAGGAGAACGGGGGTAGGCACATGCCTTGCATACTGCTGATGAGGTTCATCTTGGTACCTTGTATGGGCCCCAAGCCCTGCCAGAGTGATCCCTGAGCGTAGAGCTAGAAGTAAGCCCTGAGTATTCTAGTATGATCCAAAAAACAGTAAATGGAGACAGACAGTACAGCAGGGAAGATCACACCTTGCACATGACCAACCCAAGTTGAATCCCCAGCACCCAATTGGTCCTGTGTTCTCACCAGAAATAATTTCCTAAACAGAGCCAGGAATAACCCCTGGGTATCACTGGATGTGGCTAAAAAATCCTCAAAAAAAAAAAAATACTGAAACCAAATTGTGAACATCTTCGCATGCCTGGTTATAGAATTTAAACTGTTCTCCTCAGGCAACAAGGGAATAATCACAGGAAGTAGATGTTTAATCACTTTTTTTTTTCAATGCTCTGGCAATGGAAGAATTAGAATTAATTAAGGTGGTTTGAAAAACCTGAGGTGCCAGGATGAAACCCAGATCAGCAGTGTGCAAGGCAAATGTCTTAATCCCATTCTACCTGTCTGGCCCTTCAGTGTGCTTCTACAGCCCACCCCTGTTAACTCTTCTACTTTCACCTTTGCCTACCATCCTAACGAATTCTGTCTTACTTTTGCTGCGTTTGGGAGTTAATAAGGCCTGAATTTAGATAGTTACTATGATAAAGGAATGGAAATGCTAAAGAGAGTTTTCAGAGGATTTATCAGTCAGATACTTTGTTCCTTTGTGCTATTGTACAAGGTGCTGTGACACAACCTAAGTGTTTTCTTTCAGTTGACCTTAGTCCCTTCAGCTGTTGCTGTGCTAGCTCTTACCTGCTCTCAGCCACAAAGTTTCTCAAAATGTACCTTACCTTAAGATTCCTAACTTTACTCTTTTCAAAGGTGCACCATAAAAATAAGTTTATTGCCAGAAATGTAGTTCTGTGGCTGAGCACCTCCAGGGGCAATCCCCTAGCACTGCCAGGAGGAGCTCATGGTGGAGCCTTGTGTGACCCACATACAGAAGATAGGCACGGTTTAGGCTTTGGTACTTCCTCTTTTTTTTTTTTTTTAATTGGTTGTCTAGAACTAGGGAGAGAGCTTTATGTCTGCTGCAAGGATCCAGGTTTAATCCAGGATGGACCCCCAGCACAAGTCACCAGGCCTGGCCAGTGAGCCTACAGACCTGCAGTTCCAGGCCAAGTTCCAAAGGAAGTGGCCGCAGACTCCCTGAGCACTGCTGAGAAGCCTCCCTCCTTCCCAAATAAGTTATCTAAGGATCTGTGTATTTAGATATTCTAGTTGCGGGGGTGCGGGTAGGCATTTTATTTTGTATGTGTCAGATCCAGGGTGGGAACCCAGGGCCTCACATACATGAGGTATGTACTCTACTGCTGAGTTCCCGGCTCATGTAGTGAGGCCAGGGAACTGTGCTGAGGTGCTCCTGGTTTTGTTTTTCTTACATTGCAGATGCCTAAAGACAAGTAATAATTAAACATTAAAGGCCTGTGGATGCAGTTCAAAGGCCCAGAGCACGTGCCTTGCAGGCCAGACCTTGGGGCCTCAAGCACTACCAGAGCTACTCATGGTGCTAAGTCGTCCAGATTGGCTCCCAGCCCCAGAGCACTGGTGGGAGCGCCCTCCCTTCAAAATGGAATATCCCTTGTGCCTTAAAATCTGCCTGTGCCTCTAAAAAAATTTTTGTATGTTGAAAATCATTAAACTCAGCAATGTCGATAGCACGGGCTTGAGAGGATAGGTATTCTCCCTCAAAGCCAAGAATGTGCTGAAAATTGTCAGTCAGACCACCTCCCATAGTCCGGGTACCCATGACATATTAAGGGACACCTTTTTGTTTTTACCTTTATCTGGTGCTTGGACTGCTGTAGATTATGCTGCTGCTGTTAAAAAGTTTTAAGTATTAGAGGTCAGAAAGATAGTATAGCAGGTTTAGTGCTTGCCTGGCAGGTGGACAACTTGGGTTTGATTCCCACCACCGTGTATGATCCCCCAAACCTGGCCAGGAGTGATGCCTGAGTTGCCGAACATGAGTAAGCCCGAAATACCACCAGTATGCCCCTAGACTACCTGCCACCCAAAATTCTTTAATTTAAGATCAGGGATGTAGGTTGACACTAGAACTTTCCCTTATATGTGTGAGACTCTGGATTCAGTCCCTGAAACGATTAAGGCAGTTTTAATAAATAGGGCCCGAGAGGTAATATTGGGTACTTGCCAAGCACACAGCAACCCTGGATTTGATTCCTGCCGTCCATAACATCCCCCAGACCTACTAAGAGTGACTCCTAAGCACAGAGCTAGGAGTAAGCAGTCAACACTGCTGCGCTTCAAAACCAAAAATAAATTTATTAAATAATTGACTGTTTTGTGGCCGGTCTTGTGTCTGAGTGCCAAAGCCACTTGCCTTGTGTGTTTCAGGCCCTGCATTCAATCCCTGTTAGAGTGAGACCCTTTTTTCTATTTGAATTTAAAAAATTTTTGTTAAAATGTAGCATCATTTTTCCCTATTGTTTATTTCATTGACCTCTGATTTATTAGTTCAATTTCTTCTCCTTTTCGTGATACTCTTTCCTTAAATGTAGTTATTCAAGGGACATGTAGATTTGTGCCTTAAGATTGTGCAATAAATCCTATGTGAGGTTGGACCATAGAAAGGAGAATAAAGTTATTGTTATAAGAAGACTAATTAAGCACAAGACCAAATAACTGGAATTTTTGCTGTTTGTTATATCTTCCCAATAATTTATTTAACCAACCTTTCATTATTTAGAGCTCCTAATGCATGCACACACATGTCTGCTTTTATGTTTCTGTATTGGGAGCTCTAGCAAAATTTGTATGTTCCTAAAATACATTATATATTGACTGTAAATTCCAAATTATTTCACTTTTAAACACGTTTTTATTCATCCTTTTTCATAAATCAGTATAATACGTTTCCTACTAATCATAGCAACTTAGAGCCTTCCCACTTACTCTCTGTGTCATAATATAAGAACATCATTCCCTCTTGTGCATGAATTTGTTCAGTTTTTGACCACTTTGCTTGATTTTCTTATTATGAGCCTATTTCGTACCAGGCAATATAATTGGCCTGCAGAAGTATATTCTGTAGGCTGTACCACAAATGGCCGTACCACTCCAGTGTAGTGGGACAGGTGAAAGACTCAGTGTTAGTGACTAGCCAACATCTGTCTAACAGTTGATGCTTTGTGTGGTCTGATATAGCAGAAGTTTATTCAGCTGGCTATAAAGATTCCTTATAGAACTTGGCTCCAGCGATTATTTTGGAAATAGATGGTTCTGTGCTCAGCAATCACTCCTACTGGTGTTGAGGGTACCAAATGGTATGGTTGGGATCTAACCCATATCTGCTCTGTGCCAGAAAAAAAGCCTATCTGCTGTACTATTGTTCCAGCCCCTCTAAAAGTATCTTTATTTTAGCATCACAGAATATGGAGCTGTATGGCTGCATTTATTTTTGGTTCTGCAAGCAAGAAGTAAATGATCTGAGTATAATTCCCTGGGACCTTAATGTGGTTCAGTTTTGTAGAATTCAATTTTTTTCATAGTGATACTTATTACCACAAGATTACAGCTTTGTGAGGCTGGAGCTATAGAACAGCAGGTAGAGCATTTGCTTTGCATGCGACTGACCCGGGCTTGATCCCCGGCATCCCATATTGTCCCCTAAGCACTGCCTGGAGTGATTCCTTACTGCGGAGCCAGGAGAAATTCCTGAGCATCACTGGATGTGGCCCAAAATACTAAACAACCCCCCCAAATGTGTAGCTGTGTTTGTACATATATATGTGTATTATTGAAAACTCCCAAGCATAAAAGTACATTGCAGTGGACCTTTGAGCAGTGTGATAATTTGAGCTAACTTCCTAGGCAGTTCGAATATAGCAATCTGAGGGACAGGTGCAGTGCCAAGGGTGAAACCCAGAATCTTACATAGTGAAAGTCAGTGCTCCGCCTCTGAACAATAGCCATGTCCCCCTCCAATATAACTTAGACTCTTCTAAAACTAATGGACTATTCTTGACTAAAAGCTTTAATGATAGCATAATCAGCTGATAAACAAGTATTTAAATTTTTTTATTATTGAATCACAGTGAGATAGTTATACAGTTGCAAAATAGTTCATAATTTCAGTCATACGGTATTCCAACACCCATCCCACCACCACTTTCCCCCTTTTCCTTCCAAATCCCCTCACCCCCAAGGCCTTCTTCTATGGCAAACACTTTTCTTTTTCCCTCTCTCCCCACCTCCTTTTTTTTCTCTTTGTAGGCACTGTGATTTGCTACCGTTACTGAAGTGCTATCATGCATATCACTCTACCTCCTTTCAGTACCCAGTTCTTGTCCAGAGTGGTCATTGCCAACCATTATTGTTATAGTGTCCCCTTCTCTGTCTTAACTGCACTCCCCAAACCCCACCCCCTTGTGGCAAGCTTCCTACCTGGGACCAGTTCTCTTAACCCTCGTTTCAACAAATAAGTGCCATCATTCTATGTCTGTCCTCCCTCTAACTCATTTCACGCAGGATGGTACTCTCCATATCCATTCATGTATAAGGAAATTTCATGACTTCATTTTATCCTAACAGCTGCATAATATTTCACTGTGTATATGTACTATAGTTTCTTTATCCACTCATCTGTTTTTGGCACTTGGGTATTTTACAGATTCTATTATGAATAGTACTGTGATGAACATAGGAGTGCAGATACCTTTTCTGTGTTGTTTTTTGGAGGGCCCCTAGAATTTTTTCCAGGAGTGGTATTGGTATTGAAGTTCAGTTTCTAGTTTTTTGAGGAATGTTTAATGATTAACATTTTGTATGTTACATGTATAATACTATATTTTTGCAATAAGGTAGCTAGAGAAAAAGTGTTAATGAGATTATAGTACTATACTGCATTGGTTTTGTAAATTTCATAAAAGTTGATTCCCTTCAAATTTTGTGTCATTCAGTGGAGCTGAAGTGATAGTATAGGGAGTAGGGCCTTTGCCTTGCACATGGCCAACCCAGGTCCAATCCCCGGCATCCGGTATGGTCCCCCAAGCACCGCCAGGAGTAATTTCTGAGCATTGTTAGTGTGACCCAAAAAGCCAAAAAACCTGAATCATTCAAGGGTGAGTTATAATTAGTACAAAGTGGGCTTTCTGCTCAGAGCACTCAATTTTGATACTTGTAGAAGATATGCCTCTCACAAGCATCAGTACCATAAATTTAATAGAGAATAGTTAAGATGTAATTTGCTCTTACTCAGTTTTGTCTGTCTGATAACAGAAATTATAAGCAAGCATTTTAATTTTAATGTCCGCTGTACTCCTGAATGATTTTATGATTTTTAAATCTTAGACAATCTCATTTTATTTGTGATTTTCCCTTAAAGGAAAGAACGGTTGGTGTATGTGGGTATCAGTATTGAGAACATCATTCCTCCACAAGTAAGTGTCTGCTTTACAATATTTTTAAAGAGAAATTTGCATTTGCCTCACTGTCTGCTTTACGAACTTGAAAATCTGTAGTGTATCTGTTGTATTGAAATGGAAATATTGGGCCTTACAGAAATCATTTATTACAGAGTGCCTGCCTTGTAGCACCAAGCTGTGAGTTTAACTAGCAGGTGGTGGTGCATGTCCTTTCTACTTCCTGGCCACTGTGATGCCCAGGTGCGCTGGCACTGGGGACTAAACACGAATGGACACCTATTCCCCCAGTGTCATGGCAGCAACGAGCAGTTCCCAATGACTGTCACAATTGTGACAGTGTGTGCTTCCAAATGCTTCACATCAAAACCAGATTTATAAGCTCAGTACATGTGGTTTCTTTTCTTTATATTTTTTTAACCCTGAATTGTGTGAGGTTTTTGGGTTTTTTTTTTCCTTATGTGTTATTTATACAAAATAAACCAAAGAACAGTTCAAGGAAGATTTGGGGATATCATAGACTGCATTTGTTCTCAGAGTTAAGAAGGCTAGTGTAAGAGTGACTGCATATGTACCATGGTCTTCATTAGAATTGAGGAAATTCTCAAGTTTCTTTTAGGCCTAGTTGAACCACATGCTTGAAAAACTTGTGCTAAAGTAGTTTTTTTCAAAATCATGCTCATAATGCTTTCCTGTAAGTCCATTCTAAAAAAATATTTCATGTATCAAATTTAATTGTCAAAAGATTTGTTAATGGGTTGACCAGAGCAATCGTGTAGCAGGTAGGGCATTCACTTTGCATGTTCAATGAACCCAAGTTCAGTCCCGCTTGGTTCAGTTCCCAGCACCCCAGGACTGATCCTTGAGCTCAGTTGGGAGTAAACCCTGAGCACCACCGGGTGTTTGTCCAAAAACAAGAAGTTTATTCAGTGGCCAGGGTAATATATTTGTGTTGTGCATGGATAAGTACCAGAGTTCCATCCTCATCACAGACCTCAAGCACCCAGGCCCCTGAGCACTTATATAACAAAACAAAGAATGAAAAATATTTAGTAATGGAAAAATGATTTTTTTACCAGAGGTAATTATAAATTTATGAAAATGTTTCACCACTTGTTTATGTTTTGTTTTGGGAGCTCTCGCCCATTCTGGGCATCATGTTTTTTAATCATGTTACTTAGTGTTTTGGTGTTTATTCCATTTAGGGAGATATTCATTTTAGCCCTTTCATTTGTGTTGCCTTGGATCAGCATTACCCAGTGGGTGATACTGTATCTGGGATTCAGGGCATGGGTTCATCCAGGGAGGCAATTGTTGCCTCAGATGCAGTTGGGGGCACTTTAAAGAATATCCATTAGAGGATGTAGTTGCTGAGTGCTTTTTTACTTCTTTTCTGGAAGAAAAGGGAGTGGGAGGCCAAATAATTTGGGGAGCCTCTGGCCTAGATGGACATCAGACTATTCGTTCAGAGGAGCTTTATTTTCTCATGTATTAATCTCTTTATAATACCATATTTTCTAACCAGGAGCCAGATTTTACTGAAGATCATGAGGAAAAGAAAAAAGATACTAAGAAATCCAAAGTAAACTTGCTTGAAAGAAGGTCAACACGAACACGGAAATGTATAAGTTATAGGTATGAAATATGTGGGAATAGTTGCAATAAATGTATAAATCGTGTTGCGGCGAAAGTGATAGTATAGTGGGTAGGGCATTCGCCTTGCATACAGCTAACCTGAGTACAATCCCCAACACCCTGTAAGGACCCCCAAGCCCTGCCAGGAATAAGCCATGAACACCATCGTGTGTGGCCCAAAGGTGAAAAAAAAAAAGATGATCTTTAGTAAAATTATAATGCTGTTTTGACATATTAGCACTGTAGCACTGTCCTCCCATTGTTCATCAATTTGCTCAAGCAGGCACCAGTAGCATCTCCATCTTGTTACTGTGTTAGGCATATCGAATACGTCATGGGTAGCTTGCCAGGCTTTGCCATGTGGGTGAGATACTCTCAGTAGCTTACCGGGCTCTCCAAGAGGGGTGGAGGAATCGAACCCAGATCGGCTGCATGCAAGCCAAACATCCTACCCACTGTGCTATCTCTCCAGCCCATATTAAGTGGTTGACATATTAAGTGGTTAGAAATTAACAAATATTAAAGTAAATACTACTTTTTAGTATCTCATAAGTTTAATGGATTTCATTAATGGAAATGATTACTAAGAAGGTTGTTATTTATGAATTAGTGTGTGATGTGACTGAAAGAGGGATATTCAAAATCAGGACATTGGAGTATCATATCTGGATAGCTGTAACATGGTAACTGAGGTAGCAGTTAAATTGTTTGCCTCAGATGTGCTTTGTATATTTCTTTGTTTCTTGGTGCAGTTTCCTATATTACCTAATTTTCTTGTGAATGAAATGATAAGTGTGAAGAAAAAAATAATGCATAAATATTTCTTCATTATGTGAAGAAAACATAATGCATAAATATTTGGTAGTATATTGGTTATGTTGGATCTGCATTTTCAAAACAAACATTATATTTTTTAATCCTGATACAGTCCAAGAAAGCAGAGATTAGTTTCATAGAATTTCATCTTAGATATACACCTAAATTCGGAACTGCAGGATCATTTGGTAGTTTTTGGTTTTGCTTCCCGGGTGGGAATGGACTGCGGGGGTTGGCCACAGCCTACAGTCGCCATATCCAGGGAGACAGTTCTGAGGGCTGGAGCACAAGCTGTGGGCCGGTATCCAGGGCTCATCCTTGGCACGCCATTGGCAACCTGAGCAGTGAGCCAGGAGCAGTGAAGCTGCTGAACATCTGGGAGTGTTGCCCAGGAGAGAAAATGGGTAGGGGTACGTAGAAAGGAGTGTGTTGAAGTGATCCCGCAGCTCTGCATTGCAAAGTAGTCTAGGACTGAGGCTTTGTGACTTCATTTTTAATTTTTCAGAAACCTAGCTCTTTATTAGGAAAAAGAACTGAGAATGCACAAATTAAATTTTGCTTGGCAACTGATTAGCTATGGTATAATTTTCTATTTCTGAACAGTGTAAGACATTTTACTATATAGTATCTGAATAAACAAATGCTTAGAGGTGTTTTCCTTCATACTCTGTGCTAACTTAAGTTGGCTTTATTTCTAAGAAGGGGAGAGGCTTCATATTTTAAACTTCTTAGCTTCTTCAGTTAGTTGTATTGTATTCTATACACTTCCCACCGTTTGTCTTCTCTTAAGGCACTTCAAATTAAATATGTAATCATACATAAACTTGTAAATATGGATACAATTGAGATATTTTGAGTGTAATATACACATATGAAGGACATATGCTAAAAATAGTATTTTCAAATTAATGACCTAAAATGTATGCATGTGTTTCTTTTAATAACCCATGAATAGTCATGGAGTCTTTTAATAACCCATGAATAGTCTCGGAGAGCCCGGCAAGCTACCGAGAGTATCTCGCCCGCACGGCAGAGCCTGGCAAGCTCCCCGTGCTGTATTTGATATGCCAGACACAGTAACAACAAAGTCTCCAATGGAGACGTTACTGGGCCCGCTCAAGCAAATCGATGATCAACAGGAGGGCCTTTACTTACTTACTTTATGAATAGTCACAATTTATAATTTAGTGGGGAGCTATGGGCATATTCGCGGCCGCACTACATCTTATCAGAACTTTTTTTTATGACATCTTATTGTCTCATTCCTACTTTGGACAAACTTGCAGGCTATCGAATGTAGCCTGCCCACAGGGCAGAGTCTGGCAAACTCCCCGTGGCGCACCAAATATGCCAAATACCAGTAACAATGATGGGTCTCATTCTCCTAAAGAGCCTTGAATATAACCTCAGGGCCAGGATGAAGGAGACGTTACTGGGGCCTGCTCGAGGCAATCGACGAATAACAGGATGATGAAATGAAATGAAATGGGGATATTAACATTTTGCATACTGTTGAGGTGATTTTGTTTTGTTTTGTTTTAAATAAGCACTGTGGTTTCAAAGTTGTTCACAGTGATTTGTTATAGTCATTCAGTATTCCAATACTAAACCCATCATTATATCTTCGCACCACCATTGTCTCTAATTCCCCCAGCCCCTATAGCAGGCCCACAATATTTTATTTTACTTATTATCAATAAATTTCTAATAGCAAAAATTATTTCCTTAGAGGAAAATTAGTATAAGTTATTGTATCTTACCATGGAAACATTAAGGCATTGTATGCTGAGTTACTAAGATGTTGTTATAAGCTAAGTCTTTCGTATTACTGTTTGGTGAGATTGGTTGCCTTCTGTTACATCCCATCCAATCTGCAGTGTTCCTACTGGATTATCAGTGTTACAGGGTTAGGAGATCTCACACAGCTGCAAAGTCAGCCACATGCTCCAGAAAGTCCAGATTTATTAACAGGGTGGTATTGCTGTGTAGGATAATGGTTGGTTTGCCTTTCCTCCCTGGTCTCTGGGAGCTTGTGTTTGTTGATTGCTCCCACAACCTGTCTCCTGATCAGAATCTTACTTGTAAATATTGTCTCTCTCTTCTCATTGATGTCCTTTGCACAGTTAGTTATTTCTGAGCAATTGCTTTTTGTATTGATACAGAAAGACAGTTAAAAAGACAAGCCTATGGCTTGGGAGTTGATTGACTCCAGGTAATATTATCTCCTGGATATCTGCACTCTCAACTTAAGCCTCAGTTGCCCTTATTTCCTAGTTCCCCAAAAGCAGGGTCCCGATGAGGGACCTGATGGACCCAGGGCAATCAGTAAGCTAGCTACCCTAGCATTGAGATGGGCCTGGCCAAAGTGCCCTAATGCTTAACTATAAGTTAAGAGCATGGTCATGGACAAATTCTGTCATGATCCAAAAAATAATAACTAGATTTGAACCCTGCTGGGGTTAGAAATGATTGATCCAGCCTGAGCACTGTAGTCTGATTCTGGTGAGATGTCCCCAGGAGAGTCACCCTGCAAGCCGAAAAGTGTCTATTACTTTGTCCATCTTTCAGTATGTAGGCGTACACCCACCAACTGCCCCCAGCGCTGTGTAATCCCATCAATGGCCAAGACCCAGAGACTATAAAACCCAGCTCCCAGAAGCACGCAGCTGCATTCGTGGCCGCACGACATCTTATTATCTAGTTCTTACTATGGGGAACCTGGCAGGCTACCAAAAGTATCCTGCCCACACGGCAGAGTCTGGCAAGCTCCCCGTGAGATGTTCAGTATGCCGAAAACCAGTAACAATGATGGGTCTCATTCTCCTGACCCTGAAAGAGCCTGAAATGTGGCACTTTCTAAAATCTCATGGCTAGGAGGTAGGAGACATTACTGTTGCCTGCTTGAGGAAATCAATGAATAACAGGAGTGATACTGTGTCCATACAGAATGGCAAATATTAGGAAGGAGAATTAAAGATGTTAACTAAGTTGCTAGTTTAAGGAGAGGAGAAACTCACCATGAGGGCTGTTTGCCTTGTGGGCTGCAGGTGGTCGGGACAACTGGAAAAACATTTTGATTTCATTGGGGGGTGGGGAGCTTGTTTTGGGGGGCGGGGGGGGTGAGAGAGATAAAAGAAGGAGCTGCTGTGGAGAGAAGTGGACCGTGACAGGAACAGGTAGATTGAGTGAGACAGAGAGTTCAAGGAAGATTGAGAGAGACAGACGGAGAGAAGGAGAGACACAGTTAGAGGAGAAGGTTGCGAGAGAAGGCTGAGAGCTGAGCGTAAGAGTGGCTGGGGAGATTGGAGAGGAGTCGCAAAGAGCGTTATAGAGCGAGTTAGAGAATTGGAGGGAGCTGGGAGAGACGAGAGATTGAATAAACAGCAACTAATCAGCGACCAGTTTGGCCCCTATTCTTCCTTCCTCTGTCCAAGGCAACAGTCGTCCCAGGTGGGGAAGTGGCTCGAGAGCACCAAAAGTGGGCAGTGAGAGAGCGCTTCCCGGAGAGCCCACGAACATCCTTTCACGTGTAATCCCCAAGCAAAGGAGTTTACACAGCTCCATGAGATAGAGGTTTTTACATTGTTGGAGTTAAATTTTTAACTGGATGATGGCTTTGGGTTGTGGACATGACTGCAGGGGCTTTCAGAAGTACAGGGAAGTGAGAGGAGGTAGCCCATCCTGACTCCAAGAAAACCTGTAGATTTCAGTCACAAAGACCCGCATACTGAAATTTTCAGCAGGTTAGTTTCTGGGTGAGGCTCAGTCCAGAGACAGTGGGATCGACCCAAGGCATGGCAACAGTTTTGCAGTGTGGGAGCAAGTGACGGCTATGACTCTGTTTGGGTGTGCCCTTGGTTGTCTGTCCCCCTCTTTGTGCCCCGGATGTCTCAGCTGTTCACAGGTATCATAGGATTTTTTGAGGATAAATATCCATCTCTTTTGGGATTTATTTATGAGTCTCTGAAGCAAGGTCGGTAGATGAGTTTACATGGCACCAGAGGTAATTCGTGGGCATGACTACCAGGGCTTCTGGAAGTCTGAGAAGAGGCTTGGTTACTTTTTTTTTTCTCTTTTTTTTGCTCTGTGTCTGCTAAGGCTACCTTCCTAACCCCATGGGCAGGACAGACTGCAGTCAGATTGTTGTTTATCTTGTTTCAGGTTTGATGAGTTCGATGAAGCAATTGATGAAGCCATAGAAGATGATATCAAAGAAGCTGATGGAGGAGGTATGTTTTTCCCATTATTTGTTCTGTTGTATCAGATGCAGAGTTTGTGACAGGAAGCATGTCACAGGGCCTCAGTTCAGGTGTGGAGTGTAAGGCCAGCCTCTCTGAGATGCTCAGGTTGAATTTTGTGAATGTATATTTTCTTTGTCAACTCTTATGTTTTATGGACTTTTCTGCATATATATTTGATGATAAATTATCTTCATTCCTTTTTTTGTTCTTTGTTTTTTTTGTTTGTTTTCTTGTTTTGGGGCCACATCCCACAGTGCTCAGGGACTCCTCCTGGCTCTGCACTCGGAAACCACTTCTGGTGGTTCTGGGTCAGTCATGTGCAAGGCAAGCGCCGTAACTCTTCAGACCAAAGTAAATAAATATTCTTGAGTGACTGCAAATTGATAGGAAATCCTTTGGGGGGCATGAGGATGTTCTGGTGATGATTACACAGCGTGGTGACTGCGCTCCAGATCTCTCAGTTCTGCTACTTTGTGGGGTGGTAGAGAAGAGAGGCCACACCAGCAGTGCTGAGCAGCTCTGGGTCTGCTCAGCAGTCCCCCTGCCTGCTTATTCTCCCCGTCATCTCCCAGCCCATAGAGGAGATTTTGAGTTAATGTCTCTCTCCTCATCCCTGCATTTGCTCCCCACATTCAGGGGTTGGCCGAGGAAAAGACATCTCCACCATCACTGGCCACCGTGGGAAAGACATCTCTACCATTCTGGATGAGGAAAGGAAAGAGAACAAACGGCCGCAGAGGGCAGCTGCTGCTCGTAGGAAGAAGCGCCGGCGGCTGAATGATCTGGACAGTGACAGCAACCTGGATGAAGAGGAGAGTGAGGATGAGTTCAAGATCAGTGATGGGTGTGTGTTTCCTAGAAACCAGCACAGACAGGGGCTTTTGGAAACGCAAGCATGCATGTTGAGCATTCATTCTTCCTGCTCCTGAACCATCTTTTTGATATTTTAGAGCATTTACAACCAAGTTTGGGTCCAGAGCAATAGTACAGTGGGTAGGGTGTTTGCCTTGCATGCAGCCAACCCAGGTTCAATCCCCAGCATCCCATATGGTCCCCCAAGCACTGCCAGGAGTTATTCCTGAGTGTGGAGCCAGGAATAACCCCTGAGCCTCACTGGGTGTGACCCAAAAAGAAAAAACAAAAAAAGAACAAGTATGCTCATCTTGATTCTGTTTAGATCAAAATAAAAAACAAGGCAGAGAGAAATGGTAGAAAAGACATTTTCCTTGCACAAGGCTAACTCATGTTTGATTCCCAACACCATCGGAAATGACCCCTGTGAACTGCTGGGTATGGAACCTCCCAAAAGATAGACAATACCCTCCCAAAAGGTAGAAAATAGTTTCATGGTTGGTTGTTTAATATTGAAATGATATTTAACTTATTAACTGTTCTTAAGCATTTATTTAGTGTGAGCTTTCTCTGTACTTGTGCTACTTTCTGCAACCAATTCCACGAGGGGTTCCCAGCCAGTTGTGAGAAATAAAGAAGTACACATCATTAGATACTCTGATGACTTTGTATGGGTGGGTTGCACAAATCAGGAAAGGCTTCCTCACAGATTAAGTATTGAAATAATACGGTGCCAATTTTTCTTTGAGATTATTAGTGGGATAAATAAGCATATAGATCAACCACACAATAAAGTCGTTCTCCATGATGGCTACTTAAACCATAAGTTAGAGAGCAGAAGAAGTTATGGAGAGCCTCAGGGAATGAAGCTTGATCGGAAATTTGTAGAACGTGTAAAATCGATCTGAAATTTGTAGAATGTGTAATAGATGACTCTGAAATTAAAAACAGGATGAAACCATCGTGCATCGGAGTGTAGAATTCATGTCAGGTGTATAGTAAGGCACATGGAATATTTAGGAAACTCCTTAGGTGCCAAGAGTGGCAAGCGTCCAGGGAAAAAGAGTGCTGTCCTGAGATGTGGCACGGAGGGAAAAACAGAGGGTGGGGATTTGTATGTTGTCCGTAGGACTTCGGACTCTCATAAAGATAGTAAAATCCACTGAAGGATTTCAACCACTAAGTAATAGAAAGCTCATGCTTCAGAAAGATATACCCTGACATCCATTTGAAGACTCTTCTTAGGGGAAATGAGTCAAGATATTAGAGACTTGGGTATTTCATTGGTGATTTAGGTGGAGATGAGTCTCTGTCAGAGAAAAGGGGTCATTTTATCTTCTCAAGGTAGATGTGAGTAATGAATTAGATGATGAAAATGGAGAAATTAGGATAAGTCTATATATTTCACTTAAATTGCTAGATGGGTGATAGTGCCAACTGTGAAGTTAGACACCAGAAAGAAAGATAACAATTTTGCTTTTGTACATACTGAATTAAAGATACTTGGGAACATCTCAAAAGTCTAAAGAAGTTTATAAAAGTTAGCATCAGTTTCTTTTTAACTCCTCCTATGAGAAGGATAGGCAAATTTTTCACAGTTTTATAATCAGAAAATTTGGCATAATCATACAGGTGTTCTATTAAGATCATTTCTTAATGATTCACTGGGTTTAGAATTTGAAATTAGAATTTCAGAACTCTCACAAATGGGTTCTGAACCGTAAGTGTGCCAATCTAATTCATCTGGTTTCTCTTGACAGGTCTCAGGATGAGTTTGTGGTGTCTGATGAGAACCCAGAGGAGAGCGAAGAGGACCCTCCATCAAATGAGGACAGCGACACTGACTTCTGTGGCCGAAGGCTGAGGCGACATCCCTCCCGGCCGATGAGGCAGAGTAGGCGCTTGAGGAGAAAGACTCCAAAGAAAAAGTACTCTGACGATGATGAAGAGGAGTCCGAGGAGAACAGTAGAGATTCTGGTAAAGATGACTTGCATTCACCACATACCAAATAAATTCTTAGCTCTTCTGCAGTTATGCATCTTATCTTAGTCTTGCATCATGATTCACCCATGATTTAATTTTTCACATCAGACACATCCAAGAAAAGACATACATGCATTAACTTCATGACACAGTTGTGGGTTTGTGATTAGTTCTTTCATGCCAGTTGTTTCTATGTATGGATTTTATCTTCACGGTGTTTCCCAGTGAACATTTTTTGTGAACTGAGATCATTCTCTCATATCTAGTTTTGAATTGAAAAGGATGAATCACCACTTCGCTTTGTCATTTAGAGCACATGTAGTCACAGTTTTTTAGTTTTGATAAGCACTTGCTGATGTTGTTGCAGTTTATGATTCTCTTTATTGACTAAATAGAAGGACAACCATTGGTGCATTAGGAATCAGCATATAGGTCACTTCATACTGAAAAAGTACCCAGCAAGTGAGGAGAGCTCAAATGGTAGTACGCCTGGGTTTATCCCCAGAGCCCTGCCAGGTTCTTCCCTCATGCCCACCACCCCTTCACATCTCCCTCTTCTGCCCCCCAACACCAAGCTAAGAAATGCCCTTCATGTTCATTGGGTGTGGCCTCAAAACAAAAAAATAAAACCATTGTCTGGTGCCAGGAATGTTGCTTAGTGGCAAAAGTGTATGCATTGCATGCTTGAGAGCTGGGTTTGATCCATGGCACTACAGTAAAGAAACTTGAAAAATTATGACAATATTTTATCTCCTTCTCTGGTAATGCTCAGGGTGTTTTTCGTCGCATTTACCATTTCTAAACCTTTTGAATGGTCTGGGGAAAGGCTCTTCTGTGAAGGCCCTCAATGCTTGTGTGTCTATGCACTATTGTGCAGCTACTCCAGCCTACAGCAAGCACCCTGGAGCACTGCATTCTGGGCCACATCTGCTAGGAGGAGTCTGACCGTGCTCTCAGCAGTTTGATGATCGTGGATGATACTGTACATTGAAAAGGGGGAAATTCTTTTGAGCATGCTGTAAGCTTTGGCAATGATTATTTCTTCCATAAACTAAACACAGTTGTCAAAATGAGAATTGGGATGGGGCTGGGCCACCTCAGCGGTGCTCAGGGCTTACTCCTGGTGTAAAAACAAGCACCTTAACCCTTGTACTCTCTGGCCCAGTAAGAGACATTATGACATTTATATGATGCTTTTATGTAGCTTTGTTATACATGAGATTTCATCAGGTCCTTATTAATGTCCTATCAGTGTTTTCCTGGCCCAGAATCCAGTTTTGGATTACACCTTGCAATTACATATTTCTTAAATCTCACTATATTTGGAATATGACATTATCTCAAACATTGTCCTTTTTGACCTTGACCTGAGGAAACTTGCCTTGCCCCTGTGATTGAGCGTGAGTATTGGGGGTGGGGAGGGGGGACTGCTGAGTCCTGTGGTCTGGGCTACCAGGCTACACCCCCTGCTGCAGGGACGTGAACTGTGGTTGGGGATGTGCCTGATCACTCCGATTTGTCCCAGCTCTGCACGCGGAATCTTATGTAGACAGTAGATGTGATACTCTAGGGTCACAGCTTTGACAGATCTCACTGGGGACCCTAAGAGTATTGGCAGTCTAGTTTGAAATGTTTGCAGTCCATCAGAAAGTGAAACTGGTTATGATGATTCCATGGATTCTGTTGATGCTTCAGGAATGATAACAACAGTGCCAATAGTGCTTGAGAGTTGATGAGGTCCTATGTGCTATGGCTAGCAAATTTTGAAACCATAAGGGAAAAAAGAAAGAAAATTCTACTTTTGTAGTTCTCTGGATAGACACATTTGCTGTGGTTCGGGGATTTTTGTTTTGTTTTGGGGTCACACCTGGTGGTGTTCAAGGGTTTCTTCTGGCTTTGCACTCGGGATTTACTCCTGGCAATGCTCAGGGACCAGATGGGATGGCAGGGATTGAACCTGGGTAAACCGCAATTCAAGCAAGCGACCTACTCACCATTCTTCACCCCAAGCAGCTAGGGCATTGGACCTGTGTGTGCGGGTAACTGTTTCCAGCTGGACCACAAGCTAGTGGACTACGGGCTCTTAACAAGAACCTCTAGGTTGACTGAGATAGGGGTTCTGAAACTTCTTCCTAGAACTTAGAAGATAGTTCAGAGGGTAGGGGTATATACTTTGCATATGCTTTGAATCCCTAGTTTAATCCCTGGCACCCTTTGGGCTCTTTAGTTGGCTGGAGTAGCTCTGGTGACCCCCAGGCGTTGCTGGCTCTCATCACTGAGCTGCCAGGCCTGCGTGGCCAGGCCCTTTGCTCCTTGCAGGGTGGGATCGGAGAAGGCACATTGTCGGTGTTCAGGGCTCACTGTCTGGCTTTGCACACAGGGACCCATTCCTAAGAAAATAAACTATTAAGAGTTTTTTCTTTTTAATTTTTATGACTGATTCTGCTTAGTAGCTTTATTCTGAGGTAGGGGTTAGTAATGCTCTAAGGGTACTTATGCTCAGTCAAGGTATGGTATTGAACCAGGATTGGCTGCTTGCCAGGCAAACGCCTTAACCCCTGTATTGTCCTTCCTCTCCAGCGTCTTTACGGTTTTATAATATAAGCAAATTGATTCTCCATTTAATGGGCTTAAAACTTGTTTTATTAATTTTTTGGGTAATTTTGGGACATACCTTGCAGTGCTTAAGAGACTGTTCATGACACAGTGCTTGGAGGTCATTTCTAACAGTACTTGAGATTCTATAGCACCAGGCATCTAACCCAGGGCTCTTTGTGCACCTGGACTCCAACCCTTTCATCCAGTTCCCATCCAAATGGACTTTGATTGTCTACATGATACCTTTTTTTCTTCCTTTTATTTCCCCCACAGAAAGTGATTTTAGTGATGATTTTAGCGATGATTTTGTAGAAACTCGGCGCAGGCGATCAAGGAGGAATCAGAAAAGGCAAATCAACTATAAAGAAGATTCAGAAAGTGACGGTTCCCAGAAGAGTTTTCGACGTGGTAAAGAAATCAGGCGCATTCACAAGCGTAGGCTGTCCAGTTCAGAGAGTGAAGGTAAGGGTTGGTCTTCCCTTTACACGAGGTCAGACAAGGCCTCAGGAGAAGTTAAGGGAACTAAAGGGCTCTGTACCATTTCAGGAATTCTTTATAATCAGTATGTTATAGCCAAAAATTACTTTATACCTATTCACTGTTTATTATTAAAGAGGTGGTACTAGGGTTTGGAGAGAGAGTGCATTGGTAAGGCTTTGTGTGTGGCCAGCCCAGTTTTGATCCTCACATGTGGTCCTCCTGAATCCCACCAACAGTTATCCCTGAGAGTAGAGCCAGGAGTAAGCTCTGAGCACTGCTAGATTTGGCTCTGAAACAAAAACACAAATGATGGCTGGGAAGATAATAATTTAAAGGTCTCCAGTTCAACTACTGAAAGCAAATGTTTGTGGAACTATTTGAGCCAATAGTGATAGAATAGTGAAAAGGATGGCCAAAAGCATCCCTGTGCTCATGCCATCCTTATTTTAATTGCATGCAGTAAGATAGTAACCAGGATTGATAAGTCCAATAAATATGACATGGAAATAGATACTATTTAGAGAAAAAGAAGACAAAGGGTGTTGGGAAGTTGCTGGAGTTTTAGATTGGTGCAGCAGATGCCTCTCCAAGAAGATAATGTTTGAGTAGAGCTTTGGGAAAATGTTGGGTGTGACAATGCTAGTTAACTAAAAGATAAATATAGAGTCAAGTGGAACAACAAATGTGAAGGTCTTGGTTCTAGTCTGCATTTGGCATGTCCAGGCAGCAGTCAGGGTCAACAGAGGAGCAATGAAAGAAGGGAGTAAGAGTAAGAGATGAAGCAGAAAGGTCTATGCCACCAGGCAGTGAAACTGCAGCATTCCTACCTGTGGAAGTATTTTTGTCAGCCAAAATGTATTAAAATACAACCAGCTTCATTAGGGGGTGTGGAGAAGACAGTTGGGCCATGCCCCCTAGTGCTGGGGGCTTCTCACAGCTCTTGTGTTCAGGGGATTAGGGATAGAATGGTAGTGGGCAAGCACCCTAACCCTGCCCATTTGTTTCATTTGGGGAGACCACAACCAGTGTTGGGCAGGCCTTACTCGTTTCTCTTTGCTTATACGTCACTCTGTTGGTTTGGGGTCCATACCCATCTATCCAAGGGACCACTCCTGGCAGTACTGGGGGACCATATGGGATGTTGGTGATCAAGCTCGGGTCAGTTGAGTGTAAGGCAAGTGCTCCACCTGCTGTTCTATCTCTCTAGCACCTTATGTGTTACTCTTGACAGGTTCAGGGGACCCTTTGCGGTGCCAGGGAATCTATCCCTGGTCAGCCATGTGCAAGGCAAGCACCTTAACCCCTGTGTTTTTTGTGCAGCACCTCCTGCCAGTATTTTCACAGAGTTGAATAGTAAAACAGAAGGTCTGCTTTTTCATCCCCTGAAATTGCAACTCCCTAGTAAGGAGCAGCATTATCTAGTTGAATTTCCCCACTATAATGGCGTATCCCACCTTAATGGATGTTCCATATATATGTGTTGAGTACAGTAGCCACTGGCCTCTTATGGTTACTGAGCATTTGAAATATGATGTAGGGGACTTAGAAACTGCAGGTGTTTGTTTGCATTTAAATTAATTTTGACTTAAAATAGCTGTGTACCACCATCTTAGCACAGTGTAGGCCGTTGTGTCAAATTGCTGACATCAAAAATAATTGGAATTGGAGTGTTTTCAACAAAGGGATGATCTGATCTGAGATGGCACCTGTGTTGTGAGTAAAGAGGACAGAATCTGTGAGAGCAGTCGGGAGGTAGTTGAAACAGAGCTAATGAGAGAAAATGGTGGATTATGACAGCAGAATAGCAATAGAGGTGTGAAAGGCAGTCAATATGGGTATGTATTCAGAGATCGACTGTTGGGTCACAGAGGAGAAAGAGGTCAAGGCTGACTATATGCCTGGAGGATGGACTCACCAGTGAACACATGACAGTGACCAGAATGGTACAGGCTGAGGGGCCTAGAGAAAGTACAGGAATAAGGTGCTTGCCTTGGATGGGAATGACCCCACTTTAACCCCATATCACATAGCGTTCCCCAGATACTGCCAGGAGTGAGCACAGAGCAAGGAGTAAGCCCAGAGTGGCATCGGTCTGGTGTAGGCAGGAGTTTAGTGAAGCTTGGATACGTTGTACTTGAAATTTTGAGATACCTGTTTAGAAAACCAAACATAAATTTTGAGTAGGTACTTTGACACCAGTTTAAGAGTTTTATCAAAGAAATGTTGAAGGTAGATAGGTGCTGTAGGCAAAACTTTGAGCTAAGTGGAATCCCCTCAGAGCTGGAGTATGGGTAGCAAAGAGGATTTCCAAGGGGGTCTCTGAGAGAATGGCTCCCTGGGCCAAATGCAGGCCTGGGGTCCCAGGGATCCGGCTCCAGCCTTGAGCACCACTAGTTGGACCCCTGGCCACAGATTAGTGAGTAGACCTTGAGATTCTCTGGGTGTGACAAAACAGAAGCAAGCAGCAAAGGTACCAAGGACATCTGGGTGAGAACTTTTGTTTCAGACATCTTGTGTTCACAAGATTCCCTGAGATGAGGACCGGTTTGACTGCCCTGTCTCAGTTTAACCTGATGCCATCCCTCTTACCATCCTTCGTAAAGTGTACCATAGTTTCTCTGGTTGAGCATGGGTCTGAACAAGCGGTGGAAGAATGTCCAGTTGCTAAAAGGAAATGCTTCTGTATTGGCAAATCTGAAAGCAAGATATGGTGAAGGTGCCTGGCATACAGCTCAGCAGCAAAGCACCTGCCTTGCCTGCATGGAACCTGGGTTCAATCCCCAAGCCCTGAGGGGGAAAATGAAACATCATTTAAGATGTAGAGTGAAAGTGGCATGAATCACTTAAATGTTTCTGGTTAAGTCTGCCAGTGGCTTAAAAATATGCTCTTTATTCTAGAGAGCTATTTGTCCAAGAACTCTGAAGATGATGAGCTAGTTAAAGAATCAAAGCAGTCAGCTCGGAAGCGGGTTCGAAGCCCAGATGAATATTCAGAAGCAGAGGAGGAGAGCAAACCATCCCGAAAACGGCTCCACCGGATCGAGACAGATGAGGAGGACAGTGGCAGCAGTGCTCATGGGGACAGCCAGCCCAGTGCCCCATCCTTGGATCAGGAGAGCACCAAGAAACCCTACCGGATAGACAGTGAGGAGGAGGAGGAGGAGGAGGACTTTGACAATGTAGGCAAAGTGGGGAGCCCATTGGACTATAGCTTAGTGGACTTACCTTCCACCAATGGACAGAGCCCCAGCAAAGCCATAGAGAACTTGATGGGAAAGCCAGCAGAGAAGCCCCAGACTCCTAAGGACAGCAGTACAGCCAGTGCCAGCCTGGCTCCCAATGGGACAAGCGGTGGGCCGGAGTCAGGGGCCCCGGAGGAGGAGGAAGACGAACTCCTGAGAGTGACTGACCTTGTTGATTATGTCTGTAACAGTGAACAGTTATAAGACTTCCTTTCCATTTTTTGTGCTAATTTATTCCATAATAGCTCTCACACCAGCGGGCCAGTTATTAAAAGCTGTTTTACTTTTCCTAGTAAACTCCACTACAGAATGACTTTTTAGAAGAATTATTTCAACAAACCCTGAAGTCTTTCTGTGAAGTGACCAGTTTTGAACTTTGAAGATAATTACTGTAAATTCCTTTTGATTTTCTTTTTCCAAGTTCATGGTCCTTGGCAATTTCATTCATAGGGGGGAAAATCTTATTATAATAATAACAAAGATTTGTATATTTTTGACTTTATATTTCCTGAGCTCTCCTGATTTTGTGAAAAAGGGTGGATAAGAATGCATTCCGAATCTGTGAGGGCCCAAAACAGAATTAGGGGTGGGATAAAGCACTTGTGCTTTAGCTTTTTCATATTAAATATATATTATATTTAAGCATTCGTGGCATAAATGATGATTGACAGACTGTTTAAAAGTTCAGGTCTGTATTGTTACAACTTGAGAATTCTAGATAACATCATAAATAAGTCATTTAGTAACAGCATTCATGAAATCAACTTGTTTACTATTGGAGATAACCACACTTAATAAAAAAGAGACTGAGAAAGAACTGTCCTAAAAAAACTCTAATCTAAGTTTCTGTTATAGCAAATATATATGTTTTTTTAATCATCTGAAAAGCATTTGTTTAGTAATATGTATAATGAAGCTTTGACAACCATTTGTGCTAGCAACAGATTTTGGAGTTTTTTTGTTGTTGTTGTTGTTTTGTTTTTTTCTTTTCTTTCTTTTTTTTTTTCAAAAACAGCTTTATAACAGAGTTGGTGAGGTGGCCTGTAATAAGACTATCATGGACTGAGACATGAGTGACCTTTATTAAGGCCCAGGGGAACTGTAAACAGTAGATAAATAGAACTCTTATCTCATGGCCACATAATTTTTAAATACCTAAAATAACCTTTTGAAAGAAATGCATCTATACATACCATGAAGAGATGCTAAGCTGACAATGATATTTTAGCACATTTGATGAGGGGGGGAAGGATTTCAGGTGAATTTTAACTGGTCTATTCTTGCCTTTAGTATCTACTTCAAATTGAAGTCTACAAAGCAAGCAGTTCCTTTGGGAGGTTTTTAGTTTGAGTCTTAGCATGTATGTGTGTGTATTTGTGTGTATAAATGTGTGTGTTGGAATTTCTATCTGCCTGAATATATTAGCAGGGTTTGATTATTTTGGTCTTCAGCCATTACCTGACTTCTGTCCAAATGAGATGAATGAGATCCATCAGTATATTGAACAGGCATGACATCCATTTCAAACATCTCAATACCGTAGAGAAAAATAATCCCTTTATTTCACCAAGAAAGGGGTTTGTAACTAACAATCTATTATTGACACTAAAATATGAATTTTGTCTTTTGTTTCTGTTACAGCTGTAAAATTTCAGGCAGAGCCATAACTTATGTACAAGGTGTAGCACTTGTTATTAAACCTTGCCTGTCATAATTCTGAGACCTTCAGCCTTTATGTTGTTTCTGTGAATCCCTGTGCCCTGGGTTTTGGGTTTCTCAGTTCCCTTCTGTGTCTATTGCCGGCAACAGACATGTAATATCTGCTGCTGGCCCAAGGAACTTCATTGATTTTTTTTTAATCCAATTAAGCATTATATGTTCAGGTCAGTGTATGGTAAAGCACTTCTGTTTTTTTCATTCTTAAAAGTTGGTGTTAGATTTGCATTATAAAACTTTTGGAAATTTTATACCCTTTTCCTTCTTTAACAGGTGTTGCCCTAAAATCTTTTTGTCTTGAAATTTTATAGCTGTTGTTTTTTCAGTTGTTGTTGTTTGTTTTGTTTCACTTTATTTCTGTAGTACCTGCCCATTGATATTTTTGCTTTGATTTTAGCAATTTGTGTATTTGTATAAAAATAAAATAATGAAAGCAGCCTTAAACTAGGGTGCACTGCAAGCATGGGTCTCAAGCCCATTGTGATCTTTATCTTGAGACAGTTTCTCCCTGGAAGGGAGGGAGGGACGGATACTCTCAGAGGGGACAGGACCAGGACAGGCCCAGGTTCATTTTCTGTACCTCCTTGCTAGCTAGGTCTCGTTCATTGATTTGAATAAGAATATTTAAGTCTTTTTATTTATCTGAAACAGGCAATAGGAAGATTCTTCCTAGTGCAGGTAAGTGATTGGAATTTTCAGGTTGGTCATCATCCTTCCCCTCTCCTTCGAATCTGCCATTTCAGTCTCACAGCTGGATAAACCATTACCAACATGTAGAAACTTCCATATATCTTGTCTCAAGCTCTCCTTCTGTATTGTAAGTCTACTCAGATAGCAGGCGATGTGTATTAAATGAGTAGATTATTTTTTTCACAGGTTCCCTCATGTGAAGTAAGAAGTTCTCTTTCCCTTTCTGCTATAGAGAGCTAAAGGTGATTCTTAAACAGAGTAAAGGCTGCAGACTGCATACAACTAATGTCTGTCAACTGGGTTATATTATATTTTGCTGCCTGGTACTTATCAAATTTAATTCTGTGGTTGTGAACTTGATAGTATATTCCTTCTACTCTTAAATTCTTACTAAACCAATGAACACACTATTATGCAGATTAAATTTTGAACTATTTAAAAGAAAAAATAAAAGGGAGACCCTGTTGCTTAGTGTTCCTATTCAGTACCTGGAAGAAGCCAAATTCTCAGTTCCCTGAAATACTCTGAACAAGCTTCAAAAAGGTGGTTGTTGTTTTAATTCAGAAGAAGTATCTATCCAAGGATACAGTTCAGTCATTAGGGACTAATAAAGTCTAAGAAATTCATCTAGGGATGAGGACATCTTTGATCCTCGTGGTGTATAGTACTGACTTTGGATTTACATCACAATGACTGCTGCATTATAGAGCCCTTTAACCCTTTAACGCTCTGTGTTTTAGTGCAGAGTGGATTCTCATATCAAACTCCACAATTTTTAAGTGTATTAAGGAGAGATATAGTTTAGTATTCATAATTTTTTGTTTGCAGTTATTGTAAAGATTTGAAAACTAGCCCAATTCCACAAAGCAGACCTTTGAATAAAATGATTCATATTTGAAGAAACGGAAAATACGCACTTGGTTTTGTAGATATGATGACAAAATAGTAAAATACTTTCCAATATTCTCACAGTACTAGAAATTGATGGCTGAGATATTTTCAAGACTACACCTGACATCTTGTGGTTGCATTTCCTCGACACTTCTATTTCCGTTTGGTCAAAGTTACAGATTCAGATCATAGGGAAGAAGTGAAGTTATATTTAGAATACATTCGTGTCTACTGAGAACCCTTTTAAAACTTTTGTTTGTATTTTGGGGCCATACCCAGTGACATTCAGGTTATTCCCGGCTCTGCACTCAAGAGTTACTCCTAGAGGTGCTTGAGGGACATATGGGATGTCAGACATTGAACCTGGGTTGGCCTCATGCAAGGCAAGTCCACCACCCACTGTGCTATATTTCCTGCGTATATATATATATATATATGTATATGTGTGTATGTATATATGTGTGTGTATGTGTGTGTGTGCATGTCTATATATATATACATATATATATATATATATAAAATGTGACCTGCCAAAGAACCAAGGGCTTTGAATACTAGAGAAGGTTTCAAAAAATTATTTTAAGCATCAATTTTAGGAAGATACTAAAATTCTAATTTTTACGTTTTGATTACTTACCAGAACTTATCCCATGATAACCATTTGATTAAAATTATCAGAAATGTTTGCTTGTTAATTAGTTTTTCAGTGATTGGAATGTTTTTAAGTCACAGGGAATGTCTTTTTAGCTTATTTATAGGTGAGTATGGCTGTGTGTGGGGGTGGGTAGGTATAACTAGGTGGTTAAACCATACAACTAAAAGGAGCTTCATCAATCTACAAATACTTAAAAAATGTTAACTCTGACCTTCACCCACAGTGGGATAGAAGTATTCATGGGTACTTCCTCACTACAACAGAACAAATATTCAAAGATTTTTTTCTTGTAAGTGGAATGAAGACTTATGTATGTATATATCTATATATGTATCAGTATATATATACATACTTTAGATGATAAAAAAATTAAAATCCCTTTGAAATCACTGATGAAATACATAAGACAAATAATTGTAACTAATAGCAAATTATGAACAACATTTAATTGCGAAAAGTGTAGAGAAAAATAGTGACATTCCTCTTTGATTTAACATTCTGAAAATGTATTCCTGGTTCTCATGAGAAATGAAATCCCAGGACTGCTTATCTGCTGTAATCTAATTCTCTGCGTGGTGTCCGTTATTGACCTTCCTCAGAATAAAATTCATTCCTGTTCTCTCCACCATTCCCAGCGTGTACCTGTGAACCTACCTGAGCAGTGGCACACCAAGTGCTGCTTGATTTATGTTTCGCTGTTATACAATGCTGAGAGGCAAGGGGCTTTGCTACCAATGTATTTAAACTGGGTTATTGTGTTATGTGAACATTTTATGATTTGTCTTAGAAATATTTCACCTAAATGATCATTTTACATTTCCTGAGTGCCAAGAAAAATTGCCATGTAACTGTAGAACTTGCTGCAGAGAGTCAGCACTCAGGAGGCAGCCATCGCAAGCCAGTATGGAGTGTGTGTGTGACGTGACCACTGCAGAGCCAGCACCCTCTCACCTCTCAGTCATTAGGACATAGGACAGGCTTCATTCACAGATCGCTCCAAATCCCCCACCTCCCATTTTAGAGTGCTCACTCGCTCTCTCTCTCTCTCTCTCTCTCTCTCTCTCTCTCTCTCTCTCTCTCTTAGTTTTTTGGTCACACTTGGCAGTGCTGGGGGAACTATAAGGGATGCTGGGGATCAAGTCTGGGTTAGCCATATGCAAGGCAAGTGCTCTACCCACTGTATTATCTTGCCAGCCCCCATTTTGGAGTTTTTTGGTTTTGTTTTTGGGCCTGAACTAGTGGTGGTTCAGGGGTTACTCCTGGCTCTGTACTCAGGAATTACTCCTGGCAGAGCTCAGGGACTATACAGGATGACAGGGACAACCTTGGTCAGCTGTGTGCAAAGCAAGAACCCTACCCACTGAACTATCTTTTTTGCCCCTACACCACCCATTTTGGTCATGTAAGGTTTTTGTTTGTTTTCTTAGTTGGTACCATTTTACTCTGGGAAATGCTTCGAGTTCAGTTGGTTTTTTTTTTTGGTTTTTTTGTTTGTTTGTTTGTTTTTGGTCACACCTGGCGTTGCACAGGGGTTCCTCCTGGTTCTGCACTCAGGAATCACTCCTGGAGGTGCTCAGGGGACCATATGGGATGCTGGGAATCAAACCTGGGTCGCCCGCATGCAAGGCCAAAGCCCTACCCGCTGTGCTATCGCTCCAGCCCCTCAAGTTCAGTTCTTGCACATTGTAGTTAATTCAGTTGATGAAGTAATTTTAATTGATTTAATTAAATCAAGTTTAATTCTAATTCCATTTTTTAACAAGTTAATTTTAATTCTATGCATAAGTTTAGGAGAGGGCCAAATTATTAGATGATCGAACCTATATATTAAACTCCTTAGATACTTCAAATGACAAAAATATATAGATTTTTTTTTAAGTAACTACATGTTTTTTTTGCCAAACCAGTACAATCTAGACAAAACGCTAAGGATTTAAGTGACCTACTTTGTTCTTCTTGCCACTGGATAATGTTAAGAATGTAATTGTTAACCATAACTATCTTCTTGACTTTTCATCATTTTCTAAAGAAATCTATTTTAAGTGTTTGCAGTTTTGTTTGAGCTGTATTTATTGGGTTCTGGCCCAGACCAGGAGCTGTGTGTCATGCTGAGGGACAGGCAGAACACAGCCAACGGGAAACTTAATGGCTCAAGGCCTTCTTAATCCTTTAACTTATTTTGTATGTTTCAAAACAGTTTATTTTGCTTGAGTCATTTTTTTAAATAACTGTATAGCCTTCAAAAAATGGGAGGCAGAAAAATACCCAAAACGTAGAATATAGATTTTTACAATTGTGTTCATGGTAGAACATCTACAGGTGCATTGTGTAATTAAAGCTAAAATTATTTACAATTTTGTGCCATGGTCTTTTTCATTCTCATGCTTCTCAGCAAAGCCCAGGCTTGGCAGTACTGCTGGTGCACAGGCCTTGAAAGTCAAGCTAGTAGCCCTTGTTCCAATGCTTTACGGTCTTTGCATGTAATCATACACATATGTATATATGCACACACATAAACACACATGTAGACACCTAGACATGCAGAAATCTATATTAGTGTAAATGGATTTTCAACTTTAGCTATAACCGCCTGCATTTGGCATCAACAGCATATCCTTACAGTGTGCTTTCCATGATGACTAAGGTATTCTCAATGCTGGCCTGGTGTTTTGTTACCCAAAGTAGCTTGTCACTGAGTTGCATCTTGCCCAAATCTGCCAGAAAGTTTTACATACATCTTGAAAGGGAGTTTCCTGTGCTGGAATGGGGTGGTACAGCTTCTTTTAAGTCTGTAGAACTGGTGGTGATGAACATGGGGAATAGAATTGCATGGTCTGGTACTTGTTAATTCAGTAGACTTGATTCCAGGGGAGTGTTTGTCTGCTGGGCGTGGCAGGAATAGAAAGATTCAAAAGCAGATTCTCATAAAAATATATATTGCAATCTTGTAGAGCTTCCAGTCGTTTTTTTTTCTTTAAACATGGCGCATTTTATCACTTAGAGAACATCGTTCTAGATGCCAGTGCATTTTGTCACCTGTTTTACCATTTTGACTCCACACCTGTAGCACACATGTATTCTTGGGGAACTAAATTCATCTGTATCTGTTGCCTATGTAATCTGCATTTTATGGTAGCAAATGTGTTTTGTTAGTTTCTTGGCTATCACTGATTCAGAGGTGAAAATACAAATTCTGCGTACAAATATG